ATTTTTTGTCTTAAAAATAACTAATTATATTCCGTGATTTCACGGAATACTAGAACAAGCAAAAGATCGAGAAATGAAAAATTCTTGTATAAAGTAAATAACATTATATAACCAAGTTGTTTTCCTCATTTTAACAAATAATTTAAATAAATAAACATTAAGTTTTAAACTAAAAGCGTTTAAAACATTTTTTTCTTTTAAATAACAGGAGTAAATCGAATTTTGTTTTATAGGGATTTAAATCGGGCGATGCAAAGATTATAAAAGATCACATTGATACCAACAATAATTGGGTCTATTCCGAGGAAAACGCTGTCGAAAGAGTAGAAAATGAACGATACGCTTATATAGAAGGAAGCAAACTTCTAAATAAAGTATTCAAAAACAAACTGAAAGGAAGAGTACTGGAAAGCAAAGACTCTCTGATAACATTCAGCGAAGCCTATTATATAAGAAAGGGTTTTCCATTTAAACACGCTTTAAATAAAATGTATTGTTTTTAATTTGAATATTATTTGTAATAATTATAGTAATATTTGCTTTGATTTTTCAGTGTAATTCGTACGTTCGAGTCTGGAATATTGGACAAGATAGAGAACGAAAAGGCATCGTACTACCGAAACGAGGAGGACATTGAAATTAAACCGCTAACGATAACTCAATTTATCGGAAGTTATATTCTTCTCATAGTAGGATTCATAATAGCCTTTATTTGTCTTATGGGAGAAAAAACAATTGCAACTAAGAAAAAAAGGTTAAGCAGTCGTAGGAATATATAATTTTGAACAAGTTCATGTCATTTTTTGTATCTAAATTTATAAATCTAGAAACCTATGTTGCAGGAAAATGCAAGGAAAGAATTCAATACTGTAGTACATAAGTGTACTATTTTACATTTATTTTAATTTAATGAAAGATTAACATATTAAAGAACTTTCCGAATTTATGGACATTTCACCAGCATAATCTATCCAATCCAATTTATTCTTGTCAATGTTAGTCGATTGGTAAACAAGAAAAACAACTTATTACTCGATGCAATCATATTCAGTAAATAAGAATTACTGCTCAATTCGTAAGCAAAACTTTTAGAAATAAACTGCACTACATTCCGAGCAAATGTATTAATATCTACATCTTATTCAGTCTTCGCTAATCAGAAACTACACTAGTATAATAAGTTATACTTATAAACAAGCTCTAAGTAGAATATATAAAAATAAAAAATTAAACATCAAGGAAATAGAAAGAGAAAGAATTAGTATTTAATTTTAAATAATGTACAGCCGAAATTCTGGTACAGTGGAAATATGAATATCTCATTCTTTTTAAAAAAATTTCTTTACATGTCTACAATTTTCAAATAAATACTTTTGCATTTTTTTCTTTATATCCTATTCATAATTATAATAATATAGTGTTCCAGATAATATATTTTCCACAGCAGTTTACTTAGAAGTCAGTATAACATAAAACGCTTATGGCTGAAATAGGAGTTGTCTGTTAAAATATACAATTAATTTAATTTCGTCACTTTAAGGTAAAGAATAATTTTGCTAGGTAGCGGCTACCGACCAGTTAATTAAAATAAAATTAAATCACTGTCTTACTGTAACTTTATTATTGGGACGTAACCACATAGACACGTGATCAGGATCGATACAAAATAACTAAACAATTTGAGACTAATTTAAGTTATCTCATTTCTTGTTGCTACATGCATCTTGATGCCACATATACATTTACATTCAAAAGAAGTGGCACATAAGTCTAATAAAATCCCAACGATATACAAACTTTGTAATATGTCATTCTGAGAATAATAAAGTTCTTCTTTGAGATTGACATTTCCTGTCAGTTTATAAAAAAAATAAGAAAAATGTCACACACAAAGGAAATAATTTTCAAGTTAAGTCACAGACGAATATCGAGATAATTAAAATACGTTGCTGATCTTCATGAAATACTGGTTTAAGTGAAGATATCAGTACAGAATATAACAGATGGTTAATGTCCCGATACGTGGACTGTCATGGCGGCATTTCCTGTTTTACGACTGCCATCCTCGACAACGGAGGTGTTTGGAGACGACATGTCACGTGACGACGCGAGCGAACGGCGGCGGCTGCTGCGCCGCGATAAACGAGGAAAACCGACGCGCGGGTTGATGTCCATATACGTAGTCTGTCAAGCGGCTCATATCTTGATTCCGGAAAAAAAAGGAAACAGTGGGCAAACATTTTGTAAGCAATATATTTACTTAATTAGTTTGTTAAATTTTTTCGAAGAAATGGCATTTTATGTAAAGACGACAATTAACTGTAAACTGAAATTAATCTATATTTTGAGATGTGATGTGTGACATGATCTAAATAAGAAAAATGTCAACGTAACTGTCGAGTTTCGTCACAAATAATGCAACTTCCTAGGAGTGTCTAGTGAAGAAAGAAACAAACAAACATCCTCATTTATAAGGTAATAAAATACATTTTCTAACTTTTGCTCAAACACGTTTATAGTTTTTTAAATTAACTTTAACGAAAATTTTGTACATTAACAACGACACAGAGATACTGGCACGTGCACCACTTTCTAATTAATATTGATTAGAAGCTCTGTATGATATTGATGACTTATGTAAGATGTAGTTTCTGAATACTTGGATAAATGCATTTTATGAGAATATCTTTATTGATCTCTTGTAATATGAATGCATTTATGAGAGTTGATATCTACTTTAAATAATAACAAACGCACTAAATATAAATTTATGACTGTTTTAGACTTCAATTTTTACAAATGTTATCGTAATAATTTCACGAGAGTTGCACTGAATTATGATTTAGGTAACATTCAATTACTTATAAACTACTCTTTATATAATCCAGCAGAAATCTTCTGGCCTTCCCATAAAATCTTTAATTTATCGTATTTCGAAACTATTTTGTATAATTAAGTCTTAATCTACTTCTGTCCTTTTATTTATACTATTGTCTGCGTAATTTCCTATGTTAATTTAAATATTACTGTAATGGAAAGGGTTGCAATTAATAACTTACATCCTTTACTATGTTGTTACAAATTCATTTACTTTTTTTACTTTTTTACTGTTTGTTAAAACTGTTATTTTACATTATCATATTTAACCAATAATTAATTTTACTTGTAATGTTTGTAAAATTAATTGAAAACAAATACAAAGAAAGAGATGTTTACGGGGCAAACTTACAGAAAATGGTAAGACAGTTAAATTAATTATGGCAAAAATGACTAATTAAATGTTTATTATGAAGCTCTACGTACAGTACCTGCAGCAGTGACATTGAAACACGCTTCTTTTCACGGGAATATATAGCGAAAGTGCTCTTTCTTTTGTTTTCAATGTCATTATATAACATTGGCTATAGGATTTGTAACAGACTTTACTTGCAAAGACTCTCGTTCTGTCGCTTTAATTAAACTCACAACCAGGAATCGGACCATAAAATATAAGCCCCAATGGCAAATTTTGACCTGAGATATATTAAATCTTATACTCGTTGGATTCTGAAAATGTCTCCAAAAGTTTACCAGGATTATACCCGTTTTTAAAATGCTACTATATTTTTGTTATTTTGGAACAGTTACAAGAAAATTCAAGTTAAACTATAACATAAATTCACTTATCCGTAACTGCTAGAATTTTTTATTTTCATATATTTCTAACTGCGCATCGTTTTATCTGCTCCCATTATCTCTCAATAACATAAAAATTAAAACTTTGTGAAAGTTTCACTTTTTTACTCTGCAATAAATACTTTTCTCTTAAGTTGTAAATCATAAATTATAATTACAATTTGCATTTACTTCTATTCTATTAATACACTCTTCACAATGAAGTTGATCACATTAATATTGCTTGAATGATAAGAGTGTTACGTAAATTGCAATTATACGAAGATTTCAGGAAATGTATTCCAATCACAATACGTTTATCAGTATAAACACGAAGTTGTAATAAATTCAGTTTTATAATATCCTTATTATATGAATACAGAATTTATCGATGCTTTCAATTCTTTTATTTACTGCTTATTTAATCAATAAATTTAATCAGCTACATTATATGAGACTTTACTAAATATGCAAAATTACAACTTATGTAAAAATCATTTCTCTTGATTTTTATATTATACAATTCATAATTAATATTAATAACAGATTATTTCTCGTTTTATTTTTTAATCACGTTACATGTTTCGGTTTTACGATAAACTTAATTTTATTATTTTAAGATTAATTTGCAACACTGTAAAATACATGCAAAGCCGATGTCGACACAAAACCGGAAATTAAAAATGTTATTTATGATCTGAGATTTTTTTAATTTAAGATTTATAACGTAAATTTTTGGTCCAATTGGAAATTGTAAAAAATTTGCGCATTATGTATTAATGGAGTTTACGATTTCTAATTATATTAATACTTATGACAAATTATCTTTGGCCTTTAGGTCAGACATATAACATTAACGATGCTTTGACGAAATCAATTTTTCAAAACAGACATTTTTGTTTTCTGGTTTCACGTGTGGTGGTTCGAAGTGTTTCTTGACGTTTTTGTCACTTTTGGAACGGGATGTGCAAGTTCTAATGGGAAGATGCGAGCTTCAAATTGAATTACAAAAAACGTCAAAAGTGTGTCATTTAGATGTTTATTTTTGTGTACCTGCTTATGAAGCTAAGATGTTAATATTATTTTTTAATAATTAATTATAAAATAATATTAAAATTTATTCATTTATCAAAATTATGTAAAATGACTGGATNTTTTTATAATGTGTTATTTTTGAAATGTATTATAATGTGTTATTTTGTAAATGTATTATAATGTGTTATATTTGAAAGCTTTTATCATGTGTTAGTTTTGAAAGGTTTTATAATGTGTTATTTTTGAAAGGTTCTATAATGTATTATTTATAAAAGGTTATATAATGTGTTATTTTTTAAAGGTTTTATAATGTGTTATGTTTGAAAGGTTTAATAATGTGTTATTTTTGAAAGGTTATATAACGTGTTATATTTGATAGTTTTTATCATGTGTTATTTTTGAAATGTTTCATTATGTGTTATTTTTGAAAGTTTTTATAATGTGTTATTTTTTAAATGTTTTATAATGTGTTATTTTTGAAATGTTTTATAATGTGTTATTTTTGAAATGTTTTATGATGTGTTATATATGAAAGCTTTTATCATGTGTTAGTTTTGAAAGGTTTTATAATGTGTTATTTTCGAAAGTTTGTATAATGTGTTATTTTGAAAGGTTTTATAATGTGTTATTTATGAAAGGTTATATAATGTGTAATTTTTTAAAAATTCTATAATGTGTTATATTCGAAAGGTTTTATAATGTGTTATTTTTAAAAGGTTTTATAATGTATTATCTCTGAAAGGTTATATATTGTGTTATTTTCTAAAGGTTTTATAATGTGTTATATTTGAAATGTTTAATAATGTGTTATATTTTAAAAGTTATATAATGTGTTATATTTGAAAGCTTTTATCATGTGTTATTTTTGAAAAGTTTAATAATGTGTTATTTTTTAAAAGTTTTATAATGTGTTATTTTTTAAAAATGTTATGATGTGTTATTTTTTAAAGGTTTTATAATGTGTTATATTTGAAAGCTTTTATCATGTGTTATTTTTGAAAGGTTGTATAATGTTTTATTGCTGAAAGTTTTTATAATGTGTTATTTTGGAAAGTTTTATAATGTGTTATTTATGAAAGATTATATAATG